GTTATTTTTTTAACAAGGCAATCCTTTTTTTTTCCGCTACAAACAGGTCTCATTTGTTTTTAAATTATAACAAGCAGGTCTTTTAAGTTTTGTCTGTTGTACAAATTATGATCTTAGTGTAACAAAACTGGTATAAGATTGCAACAAGTGTTACATGAAGGTATCAAAAGTCACGTCTCATGACAAGTGTTACATGAAGGTACCAAAAGTCGTGTCTTATGACACGACACTAACATCAAAATTAACAATGATCACCACTTACGAACCAAAATACACATCAACATTACAAAAATCAAAATAAACAAAATTATGACATAGACTAGCATCTTCAACATGTTCTTCATCATCTCCTTAAATGACACATCACCGCGTAAGCTTTTTTGAAACAGAATTTGTGAAAAAAGATCAATAACAAACACGTTAGTTAACATAAATGATCAACTTGTAACAAAAAAAAGTATAAAAGATTGTCTTGTTACAATAAAATAACTTAAAACATCCAAAGTATATTTTTACCTCTATTATACATATCCTAGAAACATTATACTTTTCACAATATATCTCTAAAATTTTTATCATAGGTCCTCCCAAAATCAATGAAAACTAAGTATAATTTATTTTTATTCATTGATACTACTATGTCACGTGTCGTGGTAAATAGATTACTTCTATGTTCAATATCTCATGCATAAAATCAAATTGATTAACAATAATTTAAATCTCTTTCTTAATGTTATTCAATCACTTTTTTTCCTTTCTTAATGTTATTCAATCACTTTTTTTCATAAAATATTTTATGATAATGTCTCACAAATTTAATCCCTAATAATTTGCATAATTTTACTCATCACTTTATTTTTATAAATTAAAATTAAAGTATTTCATCTTCATTTAGACACTTTTGTAAGTTTATACTTTTGCTCAAAGACTAAAATAAAACAAACAAAAGTAAAAGTAAGTGCATCCTAAAACTAACTTAAAGATGAAAAATGTAGCTTTCCAAATTAGTAAGGTTTGAAAACTACAAGTCACCTAAAAACACTCTAAAACATGCTATCATAATACAAAGTACAATTATAAGAAAAATCCAAATGACTCATGTACACAATTTTTTATTTACCTTTTCAACATATCCTTATTGTCAAAAGAATTATTTTTTGTTGAGTGGTTTAATTCTCCCTATCTCACAAACTCTGCCGGCATAAAGATCATCATGTGGGGGCTTGCTTGTTCACCATTTGATGTGTTCTATATTATTCTCCACTTGAAATCACCAATAAAATAGAAGGTGACATATTCAATTAAAATAATAAGAGACATGGTTACTAATTGTATATAAAATCACCAAAATTAAACAAATAATAAAGAGTGAGTGTTTTAGTCACAAAGTTTAGAAATCATTTCACGTGGATTGTAATACAAAGCTAAGGTACCTTTGATCATGTGACATACAGATAGAGTTAGGAGCAGAAACAGCTAATTATCTAATTAATTAATTAATATCTAATTTTTGAATTTTTAAAAATATATTTTTTTAATAAGGAAAAATAAATATTTAGAAAAACAGCTGGATATAAATTATTGAAAGAAAGAAAAGACATTGATTAGGAAAATATTGTATATATTATACTACATAATTGACCAAAAATAACCATGATATGACCTACATCTTCTGGCTCAATTATGTAATGTATTTAGTGGAATGAAAACTTGTTTGTGGAGACAATGACTAAATTCTATTTTTTAAACAAGATTCAACTTGTGAAGTAATATAGGCCTCAAAATAAGATCACCCTCTTTAAAGTTCACTAACTTTTTCAATCAATATGTTCCTCCAGCTGCCCTATCTTCAAATGGCCATCATTTTGTTGAAATATCTTATTGATACAAGATATATCAGCCGACTTTGCCAATAATTGATCTGAGTAATCTGAGTAATCGTTAGGAGTTGGTCTGTTGATGAAAACTTAGAATATAAGAGTGTATTCTTTTAAAAGTGTTATATTTAAATTCGGTTAGATGCTAACAACTTGTTGTTGTTCGGATTTTAATTAGGCGTCCGCTTGTAAAGATGGGATTGATCCTCACGGTTTGGCAGCAGTTTGGTTCAGTTCTTGATTTGTTTAAATTCTTGGTTTCTTTAACGGGCCTAGCAATACATCATTCAAAAATGCCATTACATAAATTTATCCGGAAAAAACGGAATGGATATAAGAGAGAAAAGGAAAGTCAATAACTTTGGATTGTGTCTGTTTTGTGAGTTGGTAGTAATTGACCAGTTGATGGAGGGTGAAATTGATGGAGTTTATAACAAACGGTTGGTTCATAATATACACAGCAGAACAACAGTCTCAATCATGATACCAAACATTATGCTTTATCTGTCTGAAGTACATTCATTTAATAATGCATGAAAAATTAATAATCAACTACTAGTATCTTCGAACCTCAAGTTCACAACATTGCATTGTGTTTTCGAGATATTGTTCGGTTTAGGCTTTGTGCGAGCACTCAAGGTTTCTTCTTTGTTAAAAGACATGTTTTATAAGGCTAGTTTTGTTCTGAATTGACCAAAATTCATAAAAGTAAGTCCAATCCAATATGAATTTATTCAAAATGTATAAAGGTATCACACATAATATTTTAATTTTCAAATAATATGAAAAAAAAAAAATTGAACGTAAAATTTTAGTATTAGATAAGTTAGCTAAACACAAACCTAAACACAGTAGTTAAATTTTCTGCACGGTGCATAATAAATTTCTGGAAGGAAAAAAGAAGTCTATGCTAGTAGTCCTATACGAACTTAACTAGCAGTCCTACAAATTTGCAATTATAAATGTTGGGAGTAAATGGTACATAACACAAGTAGGTTCACTATTAAATTAGGCTACCTATCCCTAGGGGACCATCCTCCATAAAATTAAAAGCAACAGGTTTGTGGTTTCGACAAGGTTGAACAGAAAATCAAAACCATGCATGTAGCATCAATTTACCAACTAGGACTGTCGATTAATGTGGCTGGCTAACTTTTCCATTCACTGGACTAAAGGTGTAACTTGCTTAATAGCCATTGTTTTTTATTATTTATGGTATACTGATAGTTATTGCCAACTGATTATTTGATATGTATATGTTTGCTATGCTTTTTAAATATCTTATGACAGCTATGCTAGATTAGATTTTAGCTTAAGTTTGACTGCTCTTTAGTTAGGCTTATTTTCTTCAATACTCTTGTGTCAATAATTAACATGTCATTGTCATCTAATTAAACACTAAAATAAAATTGATAGCTGCTAAAATGTAGCTATACTTAAGCTCAAATTCAAATCTGAAATGTTTATTTCTCAATGAAATCCAAGATTCTTTTCTCAGTTAAAACCTCTAGCCACATGAACCAATCCTTTGTTGGGAGAATATCTATTGTTTGTCAATAAAATAGTTATGCTTTTCCATTCATTAAATAATAATTAACCTCATATACTTTTTAAAAACATATTTAAAAAATAAATGTACATGCCTGTGATATCAAAATCAGCTTGAGTAAAAAACTTGAAAATCTCAACCTCATCAACTTTAGCATTTAATCGGTTCATGAGCTGAATATTGAAAAGTTCAACCTTCGCGGATTTACATCGGTAGCAAACAAGATTTTCGGAACAAATTCAATACAACTCCTTGGATTGAATCATGATTTATTGAACTGTTTACAAATTCCCTCTGTAGGAGTTACAAAATATGACAAAGATGAGCCCAAGAAAAAACAAGTGCAAGAACTAGTATTGCATGGTATGATTGACTCATCCAGAAGTTATTTAAGATTACAGAAGCAAAAGTACATTGCTCATTTAACTTGAGAAAAATATATCACAAAGGCAAACCAAACTGATAAATAACCTAGAATATTCACAGATGATGGAGACCTGAAAAGGGTGGTATGTGACTACAAACTCAAAGATCTTACAAGATCAGTCTAGTTGCAGGTCTTATAAAAGTATTGCCTCAAATTTTTAAAAACCAGCAGATGCATCAGTTTCTCAGTTCAAGCAAGATGGGTAAATGATTTGCAGCTCTTTAAATAATAATAACTACTACTCATATGGGGCCGCAGTTGACCGCAGTTGACCAGACGCTTGAAAGAGCAAGATTCAGGTGGCCGTGTTGTTGCTTCCAAACAAAATGTGTTTTCTGATTCTTTCTATATTAGGAACTTCATGTTCCCCATTATCAAATGATTCTACATTCCCTGAAATTTACATTCCAACCCAATAAATAAGAGATGTCTCAGACAAGAAAAGAAGGAACGATAGATCAAAATAATCAAATAACTTTAATAGAAGAATCACGATCACAAAATAAGCACTATAATACAACAAAAATTGTAGACAAAAGGCATTCCATACAACCATATTGTCATTCTATCACTTCTAAAACAATTAGAAGACATACTACCATATAGAATTAGAATTTCCTGTAAAGGCATTAATAAGCATTAAAGCGAAAGCTCTTAGTTGAAAACTAGCACTGCATTGACAAGAAAATTAGATCCAAACCTAAGCTGACAGATTTATTCTGAACAAACATAATTAAAAGAATACACGTTCAGATTTAGTTAGCAGGAAGTTTTAAAAAAGATAATGCGCGAGATCTCAGCCGCGACATTAAGGTTGTAATGTAACCGCAACTGCAATTGAGGTCACATTAGCCACATATGACCACAACTATCCACAATATTAGTAGTGTGGCCAAAATCAAAAACTTGAGGCAAACAATGGTAGACAAGCCAAAACACTAAGCTGAGGTTTATTCTTAACATTTATTTCACGTTGCAATCCATTAACCTATCACAATCATTCTGAACAACTACTATATCAAAATAAAATAAAAAGTCAAGAATGCAACTTCATATTCATATTAACTAAAGCATGAGTTATATAATGAATAAAAAAAACACAGCAAAGCAATTGTAAAAGATGCACCTTAGATGGGAGCAAAAAGCATCAAAAGGAATTCATCTCAAGGCAATAAGTCCTTCTCTTAATAAGCATTGTAGCAGCAGACCTATACGGCTCTTCAAAAGCTGTAGAAACCCAAGATAAATCAGATCCTTCCTTCTTAGCAGTTGTAGTTGACAACTCACTAGGCCTGATAGCAACAAGAGTAGCACCTTTCAAAATAACCCCATCAGGTAACTCCAAATGAGGCGCATACCAAAGCCTCATATTCAAAGCAGGCACAAGAGTCCTCTTTGAAGCAGAAGAAGCCGAAAGCGGCTTCACCCTCAACTCTTCAAGCTGATCTCTGTTCATATACAACACACCTTGCCCGTCTGCATCAGTTAACACCAAATTATCCAAAGTCCTATGCTCTGAAATAATCGGTTGCAACAAGTAATGCCTCGCAGATGCAGCAATCAACGAACTAATCGTCCAAACTACCCTCAATTTCAAACCACCGTTTGTGTAAAACGAATCCGGTATACTTCCATTATCATCACCACCACCACCACCAACGCCACAAGATGCATCAACAACCACACCATCTTGAGATTTCGGATGAAAAACAGAAGAAGCCCCTAGAATTACACAATTATCAAGAGTCGATCCAAAATCAGCTCTCCATTTCAACAAAACCCCATCCTCTATCCCTAACTCCCCACTCGGAAGCTCGATCCGAAGCAACCGAATCTCGTTAAAATTCTTCAAAACCTGAGTAGGCGAGTGATGTGTAACACCGCCATCTCCATCATCCTCACTTCCTACAGCAAGCGGCGAACTCGACGAAGACGAATTCCCGGAATTCACACCGGAACCTCTCTTGGGCCCCAAAAACTGCCCAATCGTCTGAATCGGTTTAGCAATCCCACCAAAAACCAAGCGAAGCAGATTCCAAAACGGACCACGAGATTTATCAGACGAAGCAGAGGAAGAATTGGAATCATCATCAGAAATAACACAATCAACGCGAACAACAACGTTTTCAACCTGAGGAACTAAAGAGTGAAAGCGGCGCGAAACGACGCAGCATCTCCCCAAGGCTTTAACATCACCGATCTTGTTGAAAACTAAGAGAAGAAGAGAATCGGGGATGCGGTCGAAATGATCGATTTGGGGGAAATAGGGTTCGGGGTAGATCCGATTGGGATTTGAAGGTTGATCTGAGCGAAGTGAAGACATGGTGTTAAAGATCGGAAAGAGAGTTGATTTGGGGGTAGATCTGGTTTTAGGGTTGAAACATGATTGGAGAAGTGGTGAAGGCGAAGATTTAGGGGAAATAGAAAAGGAAAATGAGGAGACAAATAGACGGTTATGGTTTTGTCTTTACATAGAGAGAGAAAAGAAAAGAGAGAAAGAGATATTATTTATTTTATGCGCGTACAACAAAACGGTGAATCAGTGGTACAGAAAGGGTGTCATTGTGTTTCTGTGTTACTCGCGAATTCTCTATTTATCTATTTATTAATATCACAAATTATAATAATTATTATATTTTCATTTGCTTCCTTCCTTCTAAAAGTTACCATGGTTTATTATTTTAAAATATTTTGTTGTGTTGTCTTTAGAGAATAATTTAAAGACTATTTACTAACCGCATGATGCTTGTATTTATTCTAAATGTAGATTTTTTTTTGTTTTGAAGTATTTATAGTTTTATGAGATTTAAAATGATTATATCATGTATATTACAGTCATTGAAAAAATATAATAAAAAATAAATTTTGAGATTAGGATAAAGAAAAAAAATAAGTTTTTTAATAATAAAATGATTATAATTAACTTTATGCCTTCATAATTAATATTTTTATATATATCTAAAGTTACATTAGTTATTATTAATAAGTTAGCATTTCTAAACTTATATTCTTTGAACTTTAAATATAGTTAAAATTTTCAAAATACAACTACTCTAAATTTAATTTAATCTATGGTGAAAGCTATTAATTTCTCTATTTGTAACTTCACCAAAAGCTTCAAAGTCAAACTAAATTAGTCAAAGGATTTTAAAATTCCTGAGGTTATTTAGTCTCTTTCTGCCAAATGGTGGATGAAATACAACATCGATTGTTCTTATATTGTTTTTATTCTTATGTTAACTCATTTGATTTTTATGGAGGGTTTTTTTTTGCAATGAGTGCAAAAAACATTTGTTTGACTTCTCTGACTTGGTTGAAGGAAAATCATCTTTTCATGCTGAGTTTTTTTGGTGTCATAAAGCTATTGATTTTGCTTTTAGGTCTAATTTTACTAAGGTATGGTTGTAGATGGATTTGAATATGCTTGTTCTTGTGACTCAAGATTCTAAAATTGTGCCTTGGACCTTGCAAACTAGATGACTTAATGTTATGACTAAAGTTAGAGATATGGAGTTTCACATCTCTCATATTTACATAGAGAAAAATCATCGCGCAGATAAGTTGGCTTCTAAGATCACCATCAATGAGCCCTATGTTTTGTGGCACAATCCTCCTAATTTTCTTGTCTCATATTTATTTCATTATAAGCTAGGTTCGTCCAATTTTAAATTCGTTAGAGTTTAAGTGAATCTTTATTGAGTCTCCCACTCTTTTTATCTTTCTCTTATATATTGGGTTTCAAATTTATTAAAAATAAATAAATAATTTTATTATTTTCATTTTTATAAATTGATAATGTTGAATATAAAGGTTTTTCTAATAAGTTTAATCATAATAATATTACTTGAAAAAGAAATTATAAAGTAATAAGAACAATACATCAATTAAAAATAATAAGTATCATGAACTGATTTAATAATAACCACTTAAATATAATAATCATAATAATAACAAAAGTATCATAATATAATATGAATATTATCATTTTTTTTTATGAAAATGTTATCTTCTTTTAATTAAACACAATATTAATTTAGTGTATATTGCACAATTTCAACAAGATCAATAACCTAAATTTTACAAAATAGGATTAAGAATTCAACAAAGTAAAATAACAAAATAATATTTTAAAACAAATCTATAAAATTGTAGTGAAAATCTAACTAAAATAATATTGAAATTCTAATTAAAAAAAAGTAATGAAAATCTAATCAAAATGTGAGGCAAGAATATTAAACAAAAGTTTATCAAAAGGCTACATGGACTAGAAAAGGTGTGTGGCTGGCCAAAATGCGCTTGGGCCTTGGTTCAGGGGCCAAAACCTCATAGTCATATTCAGGAGGGGGTGCACGTGAGCAAAACGCATGTGTGGATAGAAACTATTGGGCTTTACGGCTCAAAACACATGAAGAGGGGGAAGTAATGTTATAAAAAAGGAAAGAAAAAAACACATGAAACAAATAGTCAGCGAATCTTGTTCCCTTTCTTTCACATATGTTCACCGAAGAGACACCTCGACGCGTTGGGAATCGCTCCCGGCGGCGGCGGAGATCCGAACGACCTCATACATACCTTAATCTAATCGCCCTGACTCCCTCTCACCCAATCTACAATCTGTTTTCAATTATTATTATTCAATACTCTAAATTGAGACAACGATGTCCAAAAACCCTAACAACTAACTTCAAAATCAAATTCTGCTCTTGAAGAATTAGAGCCTATCACCTGAGGGCTTCCATACCTCAATCCAAACTCTACATGATGATAACCTCAATTTGAAGAAAATGAACGAAATTGGACTTACCGGAGAACTATATTGCCGGGGATGCGGGGATTCAACCTCAGGTTGTGTGATCTTCGTTCTAGAGTCTGCTTTGTATACTTCTACTACCTTCGTCTTCTTCTTCTGTATGCTGCTTCTTTGTGTTTGTTCTTGATCTTGTGACTGCTCTGCCTCTGCGTGTTGTTGATGTTATGCGTGAGAGGGTGTAGAGAGAGTGAGGTATAAGCTCCACTACAGAGAGTTTCAGGTGTTGAAGCTCTCGTAGTGACAGTGGCGAGCGTGTAGTGAGGGCGGGGAGATTGAGATGAGGTTGTGAGAGTGGTGAAGCGATGTAGTAAGGATTTGAGAAGTTAGAGAATATGGTGATTGAATATGGGTTGTGATGAGAGTTTGGTTGAAAAATGCAAAAGGATTTTAGAGGGAATTGAAAGGGTGATTTTTGAGTGAGAGAGGGAAGAATGATGAATATGAAGATTGAGAGAATGGAATCAGAGAGAATTGAGAGGGAAATGAAGAAGATTGAGTGTAATTTTTGAAAAATGTGTGTGTCCCTGAATTGTGATTGAGGTTAGGTTATATAGAGTTTGAAACAGTTGGAAATTCACCCTAAATGTAACTGAAATTTATGGATAACAATGGGCAGGGTTTGGGCAGGTTACTATAGTACACATCCCCAAAGGGAAAAGTAAATGTCTGCGGTGAGACACCTACATTGAGTGCGGCGACTCTAAACCTAAGGCTAGGTTAAATGGGAAAGTAGATGTCCATGATAGAACAACCTACACAGAGTACGATGATTCTAATCCTAAGGTTAGGATAAAGGGTAAGGACCTAAGGTTAGGCTAAGTATGGCAAGGTAGTCAACAGAGGAGAATTCTTTCCTTTGGAATTAGACATAAGTAAACAACACCAGATTCAATAGCCATAAGAGTATTGGCATCAAAGAATTAAATCGAAAATCAAGAATCAACTAAAATAAAATCGAGGATTGTCAAGATTAGTCTAAGAATTAAATAAAATCTAATTAAACAAAATTCTAATTAAATTAAAATCTACTTAAAAAGCTAGTTAACTAATTAAACTAATTAAATTAAAACTAAATGATAAATTCTAATTAACTAATTAATTAATTCTAAACTCTAATTAAAACCAAATAATTAATTATAATTAAAATCCAATTAAAACTAAAGATTAACTAAATCTAAAAAAACTAATTATCTAAATCTATCAAAACAAAATAATTAAAAAAAAAGGAGGGGTGCAACAGATTTTAAAGTGTATAGTAGTGACCTTAAGTCAAGTGGGCTCAAAAATCCCAAAACTCAAAATAAGATAAAAATAAATAAAAGAAAGTCAGCTTTAAAAAAAGAAAAGAAAAACAACTTGAAAAAAAAACTCACGCATTAGGTTTCTTCTTCCCCTGTTCCGAATCCTTCATCGCCCTCTCTCATTCGAATCTCACATCTCCTTCGTGACTCCTGTCATACCCCAAATTTGTCCTACCTGTATATAACTTTCATCTGTGCATCCATCCACTAACCATTATTCAAAAAATCTAACAAGATATGTTGCTTCTGCTTGTTTTTCAAGCTTGTGAAAGATTGAATTCAAGACATCCAGTCTAGTGTGTGATCAGTATTGATTGAGGTTCATCCAGTGGGTCATAGTTTTAATCAGACAATGGTGTATTCAAGGTTATCAGGTTGTGTTGAGTTCATACATTTCATGAGGGAGAATCAAGTAGAACCTATGTGTCGCATCGCTGCGAGGAGGGGCCGACAAGGGAAAGGACAGAAGAGTCGCCACCGTTCGTTATTTATCCCAAAGAAAGGGAAAGGAAACGATCAGAGAAAACCTACGAAAAAGGGAAAAGACAGGTCATCGCAACCAAATATTGGGTTCGGGAGTCAGTTACGCAAAGGGAAGGTATGAGCACCCCTCACGTCCTTCGTACTCGACGGGATCCACACTTGTTATCTATCTAAAGGGTGTTAATCTATCTAAGCTACAGGCTCACAGGACAAAAGAAAAGAAAAGAGACTCGATAGAGAATCGTCACTCTATGCCTGCATACTCCCTCGTGCAATGGGAAATTCAGAGTCAACGTAGTTCAAAAAACTACGGGTGAAGGTGGGGAAGGTTGCTCGCCAAGACATCGTCGTCTTGTGCCTACATATCCTCGTCTGGTACGAGAAATCAGAGCAAACGTAGTTCGGGCTGACACGACCATAGATTGGTTCAAGTGTCTTACCCGAGTAGGGTTAAACCTTAGTTCTAGCAGTTAGGTATATTGTTGCTCGACCATTGGAGACTTATGCGTTACCTGTTTGCGGTAGAACCAAGAGTTAACAACACTCTCTTTGAAAATGGTTTTCAATTAATCCCGAAGGATAAAAAAAGTTTGATGTTTGTTTTTGAGTCTTTTATGAAGAAATGAATTGAATTGTGTTTGTAATTCATGTTGCACTAAAGACTATGACTTAGGAGCGAATGCGTCGCATATCGTCCAAAGGACATACACTAACACTCTAGACATTTGA